ACTGTTCTCCACCAATCTTTCTTCATTAAAAGATGTGCACTCATTCTACAAACATACATATATATAGACACAATCATTCCTTTAATATATAAAAAAATGTTTTCATTGAGCCAAAGAAAATTTCATATAGGCTTGCAAATTTGTTTTGTCTTTTACTTCAGCTCACCCAAATTTGAAATGAGTGTGTAAAGGGAGTTATTATTTCATACTCACATTAAGTATGAAATAATAACTCCCTTTACCCACTCATTTCAAGGCTGTTTGAATAAATATATTGAATTGAAAAACCAAAGCATTAGCCTTTATAATTCAATAAAAACTATATCCACAATATTTAGTTTTTATTAATATCGAACTAACATACATGTGAGTTTTGACGTAAAACCTATGCATATATGGTTAGTGTCTATAATACACTTATTATGCATCTTTGTCTCATTTTTATAACTGTAACAGTTAATGTTTATATTTACTAAAGAATATTAAAAAAATAGGTTTACTGGAATTTTTTTTTCAAGTTAGAAAGACTTTTAAGAGAATTATAATTTAGATTACTGGAAACAAAATAAACTTCTCAGATCACAATATACCAAATCTCTAATGTTATGAATATGTGATAATAACCATCAACTATAAAGCAGCTGTCAGTCAAGAATATAATTATGGACAAGAGAATACTTGGCAAAGATTTTTCCTCAACTTAAGTCACTTCTAGATAGGTTCCATAATTCCTACAGACACTTTTTTGGCTAAATGACTAAAAATCTCATTAAAATCATTTTTAAAAGGATTAAAATAGTTGTTAATTAACAATTCATAATGTATAAATCTATAATTAAATTAATATGATTGACTTCTCTCTCAGTTTGATAGAGCAAATTAATTACAAATATAAGCAAATATTAAATGACTAAATGTGAAGCAGGTTTACAGATTTCAGTAAAGTCATTTTTGATGTAGACAATCAACATTTGTGCTAAGTTACCTTTCCCATTGCAGGTAAATTGAGAAGTTAAGAATTCCCCTGCTGTGTGTGTGTGTGTGTGTGTGTGTGTTACAGAAAGATCCTAAACTGAATGTTTATATTTTAATATATACTAAAGATCAGCCATTGTAAAAATGAACAGTGATTTAAAGATTTTGTTGCCTTAATACCCTTTTTGGTTCATGAAGCTTTACACACCTTTCAAAAAACAGATTTTTAATAACAATATTTTTCTGTAATGAGTGGGTTTTGCTAGATTTACTAATTAGAAATACAGTAGACTTTTTTCAAAATTAAATTCAAATGATTTCTAATACTTTTTAATAAAAATTTTTCCCATTTATTATTCTCTCTCATTTTATGTATATATCTTAGAAATCATTTGAATTTAAATTTGAATATGATGACCTGTATTTCTATTCAACAAATCTAGCAATCCTAGATATGCAGCTTGAATTATTCCTTTTTTATACCAACACTTTTTTGGCAATTTATTTTTCTATTGTAGATTTTCTCAAACATTCTTAACAAAACTTTTACTCATTATTTTTCTTGACACAAAACATCATTAATTTAACTTTGGTTCAAGAAACGCTCAGAAAGTAATACCTCCTGTTCATTTTCATAGTAACTACAACAGATACAGAGAGTACAATAATAGTGTTGGACAAGTAAAAATAAAGACACTAAACTATTTTTCAACATATTTACTATTAGTGGCTGTGAATTTTTTTAATGATGCTTCATTTTTGGGACTGAGAGCTGTGCAAGTAATCCATAATGTAACTTTTTGCACACATTGCTAAAATATATTATCCAGCACCTAACTTTGTTTACATTCCCTGTTTGGTCCCTCTAAGTGTTCAGCAAGCATTGATGAATTTCAATGAATGTAATTTTTTCCCATCTGGAGGAATTCAATAATACAATTTTGCTTTGTATACACATACCAGATGCCACTTTACCAGACTACTATCAGTAATAATACCAAAACAAATTTTAAGTTATTGACAGGAAGGTTCAACTTCTACAGCCAAGCCATAAACATCCACCTCTAATGTAGGAGGTCAATATAATAAAATAGGGGGCATTACTTTCAGAGAAACCCTTGCATTTAACCACATTTTGACCTTTCAATTTGAATTCAAACAAGTGATATATCAGTTTTAAGATTTATGCAATTAACAAATATATCTTCATAATTTGTACAAATTTGACAAAAAGGCACAGATGAAATTGTCAGAATCAATTTCAATATTTATCACTTCAATAATTATAAGTACTTTGTACTTTTCTGAATTGATATACCCCACACACTCTAGATGCTTTCTCTTTGCAATAAGATAAAAAGTCTGCCATGTTTAATAGTGGGCTGCAATTGGATCAAACAAAATTGTTGTCTCAATAATCTCTGGACCCAAACTTTTCTACTGTTAAAAAATGTAGCAAATAAGGGTTGATAAAAAAAGTTAAGAGTGTACTAAATTTCAAACTGTCTATCCACCATCTTAATTGCTTTCTCTGTTAAATGTAATCTGGTTAAAGAAGTAAATTTCTTCTGGCTATTTTGTCCTAATAAACCACCCACTCTGTCATTTCTTAACTAACTACTTTGCAAAGGGATTTTTTCAGTTTCCTATTCCACTACATCATTTTTTGATTGCTTAGCTTAACCTGAATAAGATACAATACTTTCCTTTCTTTCATGTATAGATTGTATTATCCCACATTTAGTTTTGATTGTATTTAATATACTTAAAATTAGTATCCCACATTTACCAGATCTTTGTGGACAACATCCATATTAGTTACACAAAAAAGCTTCAAATTATATCTTGTGATTAAAATAAACTAGATAAATAGGATATTGAATGAAGAATAATGATTAATTTGTGTATTTGCTAGCATAACACAGCAAAAACAGCAGAGTCTAATTTTTTTTTGTCAGTTAAAATGCCCTAAGCTGAAAAATAAAGCAATTTCTAATTCAATTAGGCCTCTGCTGTCTAATTAAATTTTAAATAATTAATTATAAATTAACAAAAAAAAAAAAAAATAGCTCTCATTCCAAGAAAGGTAAATCAGATCTATTAATTGCTAATTACAAAATTATTTCCCTTATTCTTAAAAATATTGGAACAAGCAAAAACTTCTGGAGCCTTTTGCACTCTTCTTCATCAGCTATAGTGACATACCAGTGATGATACTTTTATAATAAGAACAATAATTAAGTTTAATGACAATATTAAGTTTAATAATTAACATTTGCAAATATAATATATATTTTATTATCAATAAATAATATGCTTGTAGTACTTATCTATGAACAACTAAAAGTTCCACAATGTTAACTATCCCCAGGGTCAGATAAGAATAATTCTATTATTAGAAGAGTATATATTTTTATAAATGCTTATTAAATAGGCTAACTAAATTTTCAAATTTAAAATTTTCTAGATTAACTATTAATCCTATGACAATATTACAATAACTGAAAACCTAAAGAAAATTAGATTATTTCTTTACATATATATGTATAATCTGTCTATATTTCTGAGATGAGGTATTATGTACACATTATTTGGACTACATATTTATGTGGTTGGAATGTCAAATTGAACCCTTTATTTCGCTCTGTTCTGGATGTCAGTTATCAGTTATCTCCTGTTAAATCACCTCACCAAGTTCTCCACTACCTTAACCAGGTATTGAACTCACACTGTCACTGGATCTAACCAACACTTTTGTCCACTGTGCCATGTGTCCTTAAGGTCATTTGTGTATGAATTTCTGGAAATTATAAAGTTAATGTCTTCAGTAACCATTTTTTACCAGTGCTCATATTGCAAATTTGCTTTTATCATTGCATGTTTTTTACCAGAGCTCATATTGCAATTTTCGTTGTTATTATTTCTTTTTCTCTAGCACTCCTTATTACTGGTTCCCATATTGTATTCATTTCTATGTTTGGACAGCTCAGGAGATTTTTGTGGCCTAGCTTATGTGCTGATTCCTTAAGTTTACAAATTTTCCAATGATGTTCTTTGTCTATGATTTCAACCTGATCCCACAGAGGGCAGTGATCTTCCTTTTCTCTCCATATGTGGTCAACCACACCTGATTTTTCCACATGTTTATTATGTTTAAACTATTATTACAGAATTTGAACAAAAAATCAAATTTAAACTGCAACATGAAAAATAGAAAGCGACTGGATATTAGCAAAGTCTGTTAAAGATGGCATTTTTAAGTGAATGTATTTAATGATGAAAACATACTTTCAGTTTGGAAATGTCTCACTTATGAGCTCATGACTTTATCCTAACACAAAAATATTACATGTCAATATTTAATATTATCAACCATCTAACATTATAAACTTCTGACTTCCAAAATAGTTCCATGGTCAACACACACGCACACACACACACAGGGGCAAACATATTGTTAATGCATATATAAATGAAGGTACTTCCAAAATAAAGCAATAGCTAAGTTTTAAAATACATTTTTGAGAATCAAAAGTCTTTCTTGAAACTTTTATTTTAATTTTAAGCCAATATATGAAATTTAATATTTCCAATAAGCAAAATACTGTGATTTATTTCAAACTGAATTTAAATTGATTGGATTGATTTTTCTTTTTAAATCAGTAAAAACACTAAAATCCATCATATTGACGAATCTGTAAACACAACATAATTCTCTTTCAAAAATAAAATATACTTTTCTGAAATTTTAAGGAAGATTAGCAGATTTAAAGTTTAATTAATCTGATTTGAAATAAATATTACTTATTTTTAGTTAAAAATATTGCAGAAAAGCATTTTCTAACACAGAGGGGGTGTTTTTAGGAAGTGTTGACAACTCTCTCGATAGACTTATGTTTGCGAAATTTTTTTTTTGAAATGCCAGAAATAAAGTTCTTTATATAAAATAGTTCCTTCTGATATCAAAACAGAGTTAAGTCATAGGTAGTTAAATGCGTATTAATTTAAATATTCCTTGAAATCAGGTTGCAATGTGCACCTCTGCGTGAAGCACAATCAAAGCGAATATTGAATGAAATCTGTTCGGAACGTCAAGAACAGATTGCAATGCACGAAGAAGCAAATCGAGAGAAGCAAGCTGTTGATGACATGTATGCCAATCTATGGAGAGAAGACAGTCAAAAAAAGATTGCTAATGAGGAACAGTTAGCAAAAGAGCGACAACAGCGAAGTAAAGATTTGGCTACTGAATTACGCAAACAAATGGCCCAGCTGGATGAAAATAAACAGAAAGAAGAGAAGTTAAAGGAAGAAGAATTGAGATTATTGGTGAGTTGATTGTTAGTTTTCAAGAGTTTACTTTTCAATACTTATTGTCATTTTAAACATGAGAAACATATTTCTAAAAAGCAATTTACACTAAATTTATACCGGTTTAATGTTTATTAATAAATTCATGTCTTTATGAAGTCAAACTCTATTTACATTGATAACTCCATAATTCTTTATACAATCATATTAACTGAGAAAATAATTTAAACCAAATTTGTGGAATAGAAACTGACTTTAACAACAGTTCTATTCAGTCAACAAATGTAAGAGACAGACCAAGTTAACAATAAGTGTTGCAACAATGGCAACCATCGGAGGAGCAAATGTTGTGGCCAACAACAAAATGTCTCCATATTAGTTGTTGCTGGTAGATGAAACACAGTTGATGGTTTACTACCTTTGATATGGCTACTGTCAGTGCTATCCAGATTCCTAGAGACAGAGAACTACCATAATTGTTTAAAAACTTTCACACACTCTGAGAACTAGTAAAATAAGAAAAATTTCTGGTGGTCAAGACAATTTGTTTTTTTTTAAGCAAGTGTTATGTTATAAAATTTCAGTGATTGTGCTAGACTTGTGATTTTGAAATTGAAATTATTTGGACTTGTGACTTACCAATCATAAAATCAACAAGCTATTTTGGAATATATCCAGGTAATAGTGGACAACAAGTTCAAACTCATTTTGATCTATAATTTCAGTGGCTCATCATCCATCCAATCTATAATTGAATGGATTGAAAAAGCAAAGCTGGTATAAAATGGATCAAATATGTCCTGCTACTGCAATCCACCAGTGGGGCATTTGCTGACTGTCAACAGCCATCACACATGCAAAAAAGTGCCTTGTATATGGATTTTTAACAGATTCATTTGTGACATATGAACACTTTATAGCATGTCACTTGTACCCTAGCAAATCTGTGGGTGCATACTTTGCAGATCTGCAATAAGCATAATGGCCCTAACCACTATGCGAGGGACTGTATGCACATATGTACAGGTGGTCGTTCATGAAGTGAACATGAAGGAACACAGCAACTTCTAATTACAAGAAATTACAGTAACTGACATTGTTTTAGAGTAACTGAACAATCAAATTATTACTTAGACAAACTATTAGATTTTATTATCTTAATAAACACAAAGCAATCCTGCTGAATCCTTCCAATTATAGAAACTTGCATAAGGTTAGTAACAGTAGTAGTATTACTTGAGTTTGATACAGTGTTAGAATATTCTAAGGTGGGTCAAAATTTAAAACTCATGATTTATCTACAACATTAAATGTCCTGTAAACAGCATTTTAGAAATGGAGAAATTAGACAAACATCAAGAGAGTTGTTTTCACAATTTACCAACAGATTCAATGTAAATTTTACATAATTACTTGCAGTTTTAATTAGGATTCTACTTTTTCCTTCACATTATGAATACTTATAAAAAATTATTGCAGTTTAAAAAAAAATTATACCTAATTGGTTAGATACACCAATATGTTTCACTGCTGAATTTACTTTATAAACAGTTTATTATTATTTGATTACTAGTTTTACTCAGTCTTATTGCTTTTTATCAGAATGCTCTGAGTGAATAGACTCTTCATTATTAATATTATTTAATACTAGTTTTACTAAATCTTATTGTTACTTCTTATCACAACACTAGTAATAGATTAATAATATTGAAAATGGTTTACCTACAAAAAATCAAATCTATTGTTAGACTTGAATCAAGAAAATTGCATATTAGATTATAGCAAATCCCTCTTAAGACACACAAAATGATAAAAAGGTTTAAAGTTAACAGTATAGAAATTATTTTGTTACCAACTGATTTTTTAAATTATATTCTGTATATGAACAAATGTATATTACCAAAATAAGCTGAAACAGAATTCTATTTCATGGCTTTATAACTTTGTTAAAAAAAACCCTAATATCTCGAGGCTTTTTTGCATAAAACTGTGATGAATTTAACAATTGAAAAATTTTATATATTTAACTTGTCTTTTCTCTCATAACCTAAATGTGCTTGATCTCTGTTACTTGCAGAAGGAACAAATGGCTCTGCAAAAAGTTGAAGAACAACAAGCACTGGAGGAAAAGAAAAAAAAACAGCAACAAAAAAAAGAAGAACTTGATAAAACATTACAGTACAGACTGAAAAGAAAAGCTAAGCTGGAGCAAGAAGAGATAGCCTTTGATATTAAAATGATGGAAAATTTAATGAAAGATTCACATTCTGAAAGACAAACACAACACCAGAAAAAGGCAAGTAAATTTATCAAATTTGTGACCAAATGAATATAAATGTTATAAAATTCTAAAAGAAAATAATCTGATTATAACTTGGCTGCTTTATTGTGAAAATTAATTTTCAGTATTTTTCTTTAATTGACAAAAGGTGGCTTTTGCTTTTAAAAACATCGAAATTGCTTTACAGAAGTAACTGAATTGGGTGACAAAATACTGTTAATATATAATTTTAATCTTTCATATTATCTCTAAAATATAATTGGCTTCATGTTTTGTTAAAAAAATGATAATTTTAAAAGTAAAATAATGAATGATCATTATCACACTTTCAATCATAATCATCAATACCACTACAATCACTATCATCTTTCATAAGAAGTGCTTTAGTAACGTTTTTTGCATTATACAAGTTTTTTCCATACAAAAATTACTTTTGACATTCTAACTTTTATTGTTTGTTATGCCACTAACAAGATTTAAACTGAATTTTCTCTCTACAAAGTGTAGAGATAATGTTTATTGTAAATGCCTTTCTCCTGAAACTAAATACAAAATAAATATGTTAGGTTTATTAAAACTGAACTTCTGGCTTTGCTTGTCAGTAATTTAAGTGTCTGAACTTATTTATTGCAACAGAGATTTCAATATAAGTCACTTGAAAATTATTTTACAAATCAAACATTGAACTGAAAATGTCAAAGATAAAATATTTAATTAAATGATAATAACTTATGTTTGAATATGGCTATGAAATAGTTACTTATTTTTCTCACTGACATTTTTGTGTTCAAAGTTTATCATCAGAGCTGTTTTGACTTGAAGGCACACTGTAAATCAGTGTAATATCTCATCTTCAGCATGACTACTCATCTCCAAGCATGTTCATCTGCTTAGGAATTATTGTGGGTAGTGTAATGGGAAATTGGCAAGTTTTAATTCTGATCAAATTTGTCACATTCTTTTTTGCACAAATACATTTGTAAAGGTATAAATCCTCTAGCTATAGGTTAAATATCAAAGCAGGACTAGACCCCCCCACTAACAATGGTTGGAAACCAGCCTAGGAGAAGGACAACTTTGAATTCAAAACCATATGTGGATCTAGCAGAGCATATACTTGAACTGTGATTAAGTCAACTCAGCATAGTTGCAGGATAAACTGCAGGTCAGTTTTGTGGGTGTTGAAGAAATTCAATGTTTAAGCACATGTAAAAATGCAAGATTATGAATGCACACACTTTTCAGATGGAAAGCCAATTTAACACAATCTTCCTATTACTATTATTCCTATTTGGCCTTGTGTCATACTCCTTTAGCTTATCTATACAATGTCAAAATAGAACAGCTATAATAAAAATAATTGTAGTTACTTAACTAAATGGTTAACCTTATTTTGTTTATTTGTAATAAATGTTCTTGTGAATTTAATCTTTCTATATTTTTTAAGTTTATTAATGAAAAAAAAATAAACGGATACAATTTTTATTTATTTATTTTTTGTTTAAAAATAAAGGTTTATCTCCCTTTAACTTAATTATTTTTAACTGGTAAAACAAATATCGCCTACAGTTTTCCAAAATTTAGCGATGTGATATTAGTTCAAAAAATCAGATTACTGGAGCAAAGTTATAAAATGACTAATTTCCAAAGTTTAACAATAGTCAAAGAAATAAGTATTATGCTCAACATTTTATTTATGCATGAGCATCCCAAAAATAAATAAATATCTTTTTATTTGTTTTACATTAATGGAAAATTCAAAATGGCAAAATTTAAAATTTATTCTCAATGTAGTAAAGAAAGATAAAATATTCTTTCCCTTTATAAAACAAGATTTAGAAATACACAGAGTTAGCAGTGAAAAGATTTGCTTAAGATTTGGATGCTTATAAGACAGAACTAGAATTCACTATCAGGGCTTTTTAGGCATTATAGAATTTAATTTTTCATTTTAATATTTCAAATTCACAAATGTTTATGTAATTGGCTTTATTAAAACGATAATCACTTCTCCAGTCTGTTACATTAATTTCTATTGTTTATTTATCAGCTTCAGTTAATAGTCTTTCTTTAAAAGTATCCTGAATTTTCTGTATTAGACTGAAAAAAAAGTTTCTACCTTATTATCTAATTACAGCGAGAACGTCAGGAAGAGAATGAAAAATACCTGACTCATCTACGTAAGCTTTTGGCTGAAGAGAAAGCAAGAGAAAGAGAGATGCAACGTATTATTGATGAAGATGTTGAGAAGCAATGGCAGAAACGTCTGGACAAGTGGCAACAAGAAAAAGAAGCCAGAAGAAGATTAATCAATGATGTAATGAGGATTAGGAGTCGGCAGTTGATGGACAAATGTAAGTATTAAAAGTAGAAAATATTTGTGAAAAAAGATTTTTTTTCTTATAGAGCAGTTATTTTATTCTTTGTTAAGCTAGATAGAAAGTTATTCCCAATGTTACTATAAAATGCTGTTACTAGAATAATATCAGTTATTGTTTGTATTAAAGACTTTATGTACTTTTGAGAAGAGTACATTATCATTCTAAGAGTTGTTCAAACAATTGATCACATTCTTTTTGTAAATATTATTATGTTTTGGTTAATTCATTTTACAGCCTTCTGTAATTTTAAAATAAGTCATGAGATAGGATAAACAGAAAATATCAGCCAAAAGAAAGGAAATGTTTGAAATTGTAACATTACACATGAAATACAGAATCTCTTTTGTTACATGTTTTTCATACGGATTGCACAACTGAGAAATGTTGTATCATTGAAAATGTGATAATAACAAAAAAGAATTATAACAGTTCTGTGAACAATCCTGGGAATAGCTAATATTTTATTTCTTGATACTTAGAAGACATAATATACAGGAAAAAAGATATTTGTTAGAATTAACTATTTTGTACTTGGCAGAACCAAATAAAAACAGCATAAATATGACTGAAAAATGTACACAGTAGAAATGATAAAGAATTCTTTCATCTGAGTTTCGACCATATCCAGTGTCTTAATTCTTATGTAAAACTGTCAGTAATGAAAAAACATTTTTTTCTTTCTTTTGCACAAATGGTAAGCGAATACAGAGCACATTGTACCATGACATGCATTCATCTGTCTTTTAACCTTCCCATGTCTTACTGGCTTCCTGTGACGAGATCAAATTAACAAACAGGACAAGAAGTAGAGAAATTTAAGCCCATGTTTTACCAAAGGCATAAACACGAGAAGCAACATTAATGGATTTCATCAGCTCAACTTCCCTATGTTATCTCTTAAACTCATAGGTCTTATAAAATATAGAAAATAAAAGTGATGCAAGTGATTTATGTTTGCTTATTTTCAAGGCTGGATTATCCTTTAGGCTAGTATAGGCTGCAGTTTAGGCCCTCTCATGTTTAACTTCTAAATAATTTCATAAACTGAAATGATATTAATATGACAAACTTATATTTAGTTTGATTGTTTTCTTGTTATAATGCTGGTTATAAAAATCATTGTAGTGTATGAAATAGTATCTTAGAATGTGACATTCATTTTAGTTATATTACTTGGTATTTTTGTTGCATAAAAATTGTATAAAATTATCTATCCCCTTGTCAAATATAATGAAAGATAAGAGATAGTCACACATCATACAGTTATTTCTTTTTTCACAATATCAACTTGTTTCTACTGTACCAGTTGAACTTTTTTTAAAATCTATAACAAGTTGTAAACAATGCAATTCTACATGAATATTCTCTTTTATAAAGAAATTGATTTTATTGCTACAAACACGATACCTGTAAGAGTTTTGAAACAACTTTTCCCCCATGTTTGTTCTGTTTTTGCTCCTCAGTGGTGGAGAATAACAAGCAACGAGAAGAAAGTGAGCGAGAAAAGCAGGAAGTGTTGCAGAGAATTGAAGCATATAAATGTGAGCAGGCAGAAGAAATTGCCAGACAGCGGGATAAGATTTTGCAATATCGGCATGACCTTCAAGGACAAATATATTTTAACAAATGCCAACTGGAAAATCAAAAAGCAACTGAAGCAGAAGAACACAAGAAGGAAATGCAAACTGAGATGGAATTGCAACAAAAGATTAATGAGGCGCTTTCCATGCCGTTTTCAAATCAGAACACACCCATCCACCCAATGCGAAGAGCATTAAGTAAATAAAATGGAGATATTGAATTACAGGTTGGTAAGTAATGGAGGGAATAAATATTTGATTTTGAATTGGCTCACTTTGGAATTATCTTCATATATGAAAACACAAAATAAAAATATTTTCAAATATTTATCTAAATGAAAACATAATTTTAAATAAGATATACTAAATCTTCCTTAGCTTAATACAACACCACATTAGTGGGTTTTCTAGTGTTAGTTGAATTCTCATTAGATTAACCTGCTAATAATCAGCGTATAACAGGTCCACATACACAATAAATTTTATCTCTCTCTCTCTCTCTATATATATATATATATATATATATGTGTGTGTGTGTGTGTGTCACACAAATATACAAATTTAATTGAAATGCAATTCCAATTAAATGTAGGTTATTGTTGATTTTTTTAATACTGTGCTCAGTATCCTACAGACAGAACCACACATAATGTAAATGCTATATTTTTGAGATCTTATTAAAAATTTCATGGGTGACAAAGACTTAAAATTAAGAGAGTTCCATTTATTGTCAGACATTTAAAATTAAGAAAGTTCCATTTATCACCAGTATTTCTGAGAGGGAGAAGACTTCACTGGATATATGGAGTGTTCCATTGGTGCTCTCAAGTGTGCCTGTGACTTTCAGGTTAAAGGAAAGTGAGTGCCTGGGAGGCCCAAGATGTCATGGAGCTGACAGAACATGATCGTAGAGAGTAGAATTTCTCTGCATTTGACCCTCATGACAGATGCATTTGGAGATCTGGAGTGAGAACTGCCATGCGTGCAGCTAGCCAGTTACCTGGACAGGGACCCACTGATGTGGATCCATGAGTATTAACTACTACCATCCATCCTCAAGTAGTTACTACCCACAAAACACAAGATTGAATATTCATTGGATTAAAAAAATATATATATATATATATATATATATATATATATATAAAATTAATGGATGTTATTTTTAATTTAACATTACTTCTTTGTACTGTTAATATTAAATTTTAGTGGATACATGTGTTTTAGTAAATGCCCTATTTTTTTGCATCAATTACATCTACCAGCCTGTCAAGATCCTTCATAAAGAAAATGTGCTCTCCAGCAGGGTTTGAATCTGTGTCTCCTTTTGTAGGGAAACCCACCATCTGATCCAGTGTGCTTTTGACTGCTTGGCCACAGAATGTCACGTAACACCAAAGTTCTTTAAAAAAGGATAATTGAACCTTACTAGGATATAAGGCTCTCTGTAGCTGAGAAGTCTAAAACATGCCAGATTAGTGATTTCCCCTCAAAATGAGTACACAGGTGCAAACACAGCAGGAGAGCATATTTTCTCTCAAATGGGTAGACCAGTCAACACAATTTACATTAATTAATTAATATATATATATATATATATATATATATATAGCCTATTTAATAAGTTTATGATACATATGCTGCAGATACTGATGTTGTTTTTATATGTAACCTCTATGATATCAATACATTTTTATGAGGCCAATATTAGATTTTATGATGCAAGTCAATGTTTTCACAATAAAATTAGTATTAACCAAATGATGTTTGTAAATTTTTCAAGATATACTTATGAATATAATATAGTGTGAATCTCAGCACAGAATATCTGTTTTTATTAGAAATATTAATAGAAGAAGGGATTACCAGCAAGAAAATAATTGAAGAAACTAGTGTTGTGAATGTGAATAGAGAAAGAATATTAAGAACATTGGCTAAAGACATGAAAGTAACCAAACTACCATATTTAATCATTGGGAAGAAGTACAAGAAAACTAATTTCTCAACAATAATTTTTAGTGAATATTGGATGAACCTGATAATTTGGTGAGATACCAGTTCATTCATTGAAATAGTCAATCAATACAATAGAAGACAATAAAGGAGAAACAGTGTGATGTTTAGGCCTTATAATGTAGGTAGTAAAATTATAAATCCCTTCAAAGTTGATGGCTCAAGATAAATGTAGAGCTTTACTGTAAGTTATTTGGCAAAATTGTTTTTGAACAGTACAAGTCACAACCAAAAAGCATTAAGCCAAAGAATATATTCAATGCTATTTTACATTCTGCAAAGCTGACTATTGCCCATCTTGGCAAGAAAGGTTTCAAAGTTAGCAAATTAATAAAATGGCCCTCAGCCTCTCTAACTATTAATCCAATAAATTTTTTTTTAAAAACTTGCATTCAATCATTGTATATTAGATTGAAAAGCAATATTCAAGCTCTTTGGTTAGTAATAAAAACTACAATGAGAATGTTAAAGTCAAAATAGTAAAAATTATAAAATTTATTCAGGTATATAGCATATTGTGCTAATCAAATATGCTTATGTGGTCTATATCTTTTGGATTTATTCACAAATAAAGATTGAAATAACATTTACTTTCTCTGCATGACATAAGCTGACACCCAGAAATCAATTTATTATTATCAATATTTCAATAAGGATGAACATTACAAGCTGAAACTCACACAATATATTACACATCTAAAGAGAAATATGTCCTGATAATTTTACTAACATTGGTTGGTTAATACCAATTTTATTGTGCAAACATTGACTCACATAATAAAATCTTGTGTAAATGTAATCATTTTATAAAGAAATAAACATTTAACAAGTAATCAAAAAAGAAATGAAGTAAAACTCAGAAATGACTGAATGATAACCGTTTTACAACTTCAATGTTGACAAAATTTAGGTAAAGATTATTATATTTTAAAATAAATATATTGAAAAATACAAATGTCATTTTCTTTTATTAGTGATTCAAATTCAACTTATTTCCAATGAAATATCAAAAGCAATAATTCATTCTTGTTACTTAAAATAGAATTATACTGAGAGAATATGGAGAAGGGTTGGTATAGTCATTTCTATGAATGAAAGCAAGCATAATTTAAATTATGCTGAGGGACAATAAAAGAGATGTTTTTACAATATATTAAAACCTTAAAAATGCATTTGATATAATTTAAATGTCACCTTTTTAGTAAAATTTTCGTTTTATCTTAAAAAAAATAATTTTACATATTTAAATAAGTTTTTAAAACAATTTTTGAAATTGTCATGGTCAGTTTATCACCGATCCTTCATTTTAATTGAAAGGTAATAATAAAACATTTACAATATTTTAAAAATTTCTTACAAATCAAATATCAACCCTAGAGATTTGTTTAAAAGAAAATTAGTGAACTTAAGGATCAATTAACAGGATTTGGGGAAAATATTAATTAGGTTTTGCCTAAAACATAGCAAAAAAAAAAAACATTTGTTTTCAGCTAATGTTTAAAAATACTAGTAAAGCTCAATGGTAAAACAGTAAGAGTCTACTCCCACAATTCCCCACTTTTAATCAATCAGCCTTGAATTGAATTAAATACAGATGACCAAAACTACCAAAATACAGAAACTGGTTTCATTTATCTTTAAAAATAATTGCTTTAAACCTTTATATAACCAATAAATTAGGAATATATTTTGATTCTATAGGTTTTTCTGAAACTTATAATTTTTATATTAATAGGAATATAAAAAATTTTTAAATCATTAAAAAAAAAAAAAGAAACAAAGTGATACTTTTACTCATTGCATTTACATTTTTCATTTAAGAGTAAATTATTATTTTAGCCATCCAAAAATTTCCTTCAGTTCACTACCAAGTGAAAAAAAAGTAAAAATGAATGATTTTGTTAGTACCATAAATATCTTTAAAAATTTACACTATATTAATATAAAAAAAATATTTTATTTAAGAGTAAATTTTAGAAATGCACACATTTTTTTTATATTAATAAAATCAATAGTTATGAAAACTTTCTTGTTCACAAACAATGGTGGGGGGAGACAAAAGATTTTCTTAAAATAAAATTTAAAAAATTAAAATTAAATAAAATTTTTCTTAAAATAGAATTAAAAGAACTTACTTTTATCCTTTAAATTGGTAAAGGCCTTGGCTTTTTTGCACAAAAGCTGTAAAATAGCAGGAAAACAGATATGGATTTCTATAGATAGAGTAAACTCAATACTAAGATAGATATTAATCTCCAAGAGTGAAAGATATAATCAAGGGAGATGATTGAAAACTTTATTCTATTTGATCTTCCATGCAAAAAAAACCCATCAGCAGTGAAAATAAATAAAATTATTTTAAAAATACTTCTGTGAAAATGTCATGAAACTTTATATTTTCAATTTTTCAAACATCTTTTTTTTCTCTTTTTTTTTCATGAAAAAGATCACTTTTTGCCATCAGCAACCAAAAGAATTTTTTAAAAAATCACATTGAAATTAACAAGTAAATCTTCCAAAAGTAAATATTCATCTTAGATTTTTCCTGGCATATATTTAAGTTTTATTGAATTCATTTTTTAGGATTTCAAGACAAATTTTCAACATGTTCTGGTTTGATATTGCATATTTTACTAAAATAAAACCATCATAGATTTTTCTTTATAAAACAATAGCTGTTTTTTTTTTTTTGCTTTCATTTTTTGGGGGAGGGGGAGCATACATTTTTCGTCTGGTGGTAAATATAAAAATCATTAAAGTTTTATTTTATTGCAAAAAATTTTGTCTGGTTACTTGAACTCATTTTTTAAATGTGGATTTTTTTTGTTATTAATGTTTTGATTGAGCCATTCTAGAGCCATCTTCAGGTGAGGAATCATGACCAACTTGTATTATACAGCCCCACATGTCACATAACAGGCTGATGTAAACAAAAAAAAAAAATGTGAATAGCTGCTTAGAAAATTGGTAATCTAAAAGGGAGGTAACTTTAAAAATTGAATTCTTAGAATGTAAATTAACAACATACAATACGTAGAATTTATCAGATGTTATTCCAATTTCCTAGACATGTTTTCAACACTAAAATGCATATTTACACCTTTTTTTTCCACAAAATATAAACTGCTGTGAGTTACCTCGCTTTTATGATTTTCAATTGCGTATATACAGCCCGTTTTGCAAATAAACGCTA